CTTTCAGAATCACAGAGAGTAGCCTATGGTGGCACAAAATCGGACTAGAATGCACAGCCTCACCGATCACCATCACCACCTGAGGATTTTCTAACTGATCTTTCTGCCTCATCGTCATTGAGTAAACAGAATTCCATTTTTTCCCTCACACTTGGTGAAATTCAACTCAAGAGTGGGAAGAGTGTTGGGTCCATGAGCATGGATGAGTTCCTAGCCAACTTGTGGAATAATGTTGAGGAAAATCAGGTTTCATCCTATCCCAACCAGAACCAGAATGAAACCATCGATGAGAAATTAGACTCAGCTAATCAACCCACTTTAGCACACCAAGGCTCATTTTCCATCCCTACCCCCCTGTGCAAGAAAACTGTGGATGAAGTATGGTTTGAAATACAGAAAGATCTACCACAAGGCCGTAAAGCGAATAACATTATTGGCGATCAACATGAACCACAAAGACAACATACTTGTGGGGAGATGACATTGGAAGATTTTCGTGTGAAAGATGGGATTGTTCAGGAACAGTCACATTCTTCTCAGCAAAGGAAGGTGATTCCTCCTCAGAACAACAATCCAAGTTTGGATGCAAACTTTTCAATGGCCCATGTGATGGGATCTTTTCAACAAAACATAAACTTAGTACGACCTCTTCAAAATAGCAATTTGAATTTGGATGCAATAAGCTTTAAAATACCAACAACCTGTTGGTTTGAATGGAAAAAACTCAGTTCATCTCGAAATAGAGTCTTATAAATGAAGAAACATGCGCTGAGAGAGTTTTCCCTCGATGAGATTCAAATCGACTCAATTCTAAATTAGTTAGGATCTAATTTAATTACCAAACACTGAAAAATTAATATAAAGAAGGAAAAAAAAAAAAAAAACTTTGGAATGGGAAATGTGCTACGGATGGGATTCCCTGGTCTCCAAAATGCAGGCAACAATTTCAGTACTGCCAAAGGTTATGCAACAACATACCCAACCTTCCCCCTGAACAGAAGTTTATTTGGAGAGTCATCTACCAATGCTGAAAATGGGAACACTGCTCAGTGCTTGCTAGAGTCTGTTGCAGTGCCGAACAAAAGGAGTGTTATATATGGCCCCCCAAGCTGGTTGTAGAAAGGAGACAACGTCGAATGATAAAGAATCAGGAGTCCGCAACAAGATCTCGAGCAAGGAAACAGGTTCTACGTCTATATAATATGAATGTGCTTCCGTAGAGCTGTGCATTGTAACTTGGGAACCTTTTTTTTCTTAACTGAACTGCTATGGTCTCACACTTCATTAATTATAATTAACTTGTTTCTGTATGTAATACTTTTAAATTAAACATTAAACTAAGATAAAAAAAAATTAAACGTTAAATTAAAACATTAAAAAAAATTTAATGTTAAACTTCCTCACGTGATGTAATGCGAGCACGTAGTCCGTGCGTATATACGCGCAGAATAATCTCCCGCGTGGCCATCTCTCTCCTTCCTCACCCGGTCACCCCCATTCCTGATCTTGATCTGCGCTTGACATCGTTGAATCTCAGGTAGTTCCATCTCCATGCCTTCCAATTTCACCTCTTTTTCTCCAATTTCGTTTCAATTTCACTTTTTCTTCACCGCTTCTCTTTCCCCTGCACACAATCGCACCTAGGGTTTCAGTTCTTTAATTCTTCTTTTTTGTGTAATTTGTTCCCTTTAATCTCCCCCTTTCCCGCAGAATTCCATCTGGATTCAGCAGGTTTGGCAGTTTGGGTGAGGAGATTGAGAGAGCAGAATGCTAGGTTCTGGCAACAATTTAAGCCGAGGGAATGCTGCATTGTCGTCGTCGTCTTCGGATATACCTCCCTTGTCTCAGTGTTTGTGTTTGGACCTTATCACGTTAGGTAGTCAGAAATATACGCGCTCTGGAGAATTAAGGAGGGCTCTTGGTGTCCCGCCTGCAACTACCCAAGAAGACCATTCTTTTGGAGTTACTCACTTTAAACTCACTGCACCCGTTGCAACGGAGGAGCTTAAGCACTTCAAAGAAAGCGTGCAAGATACCTCCAGAAAGGCCAAGTAAGTCTTTTGAACTACACCTTGCTTATCCATTGTTGTTATTGTTCTTGTTACCGGAACACAATGTCTTTCTGTAGAATGTGCATGCAATTTACCACTCATTGTAGCTGTGGTGACAACTGCATATGTAAATTTTGATGAGATAGATTTAAACGCTTTCAGATAAAGATGGGATTTGAGTTATCTTTTATCTTCATTGTTTTCACTATTATCTTGGGTACAAGATAATCCCCACATTTATCTCCTACTTTCCCAATTTTCTGGCGCTAATTTTGTGTTTTGGTTCATATTTTTGAACCAAATTTTTTTTAGGTTGAAAAAAAATTCAGATTTTAAGGTCTAATTAGAAAAAAGTAATTAGCCTAACTATTGACCAATCATGCGATTTTACTTTGAGTCATTAAGTTGGAGAATCTGTGTGAAAAATTGATGCATGCAATGATCATGTAGTCTGGTGATATGCATTGTTATTATTATTTTTTCAAATTTTATCTTGTCTTCTTCTTTGCCAATCTGTCCTTCCCTCAAATACTTGATTAATAGTATGCAATATGTTTTGAGAGAAGTCAGGTTGAACCTTTTCTTTCTGGCTCTATGGAGTGTGAATGATTTTCAACTTTCAAACTAGGTCGTATTCCCTCTTACTCCTAGTACCATTGCTTAGTGCTTATTTATTGAAGGTGTGATGTCTTTATACCAGGGATAGAGTCAGAAAGCTCCGTGAGGCCATCGATAAATTGGAGAAGTATAGGGAAGCTTTAAGCTCAAAGAAGGGACAAAGAACTGATATTTCTCCCACTGAGAGGGCTGGGGGAGTAAACTTAGCAAAGATTGGAAGCCAGGTTCACAGAAACGAAAATGACATTTTGAATCAGAGACCGGAAGACAGGGCCAAAAATGTTGGGCTGAACAAACGTGTACGCACATCAGTTGCAGATGTCCAGGTTTGTATTTAACTGTTAATGTTGAGATGTATCTGATTTGTAATCTTTGTATGAAAGCTGATGTCTACACCAGGTTTTCCCTAATTGGAGGACAAGAAATTTAAAGGTTTATATGAATTGTTTAATCCCTTCATTATTCGAGTGGAGTCTGCTATTAATTACGAGTGTTTTGTTTTTCTTGCCTTTTTTTTTTTTCTTTCATTTTATATTTGTACTCTTCTTTGCTCAATTTTAGGGTTATGCTTTTGGTGGTTACAATTTTATCTATTGCTTGAGATTTCGTTAGTACCTAATTCTTTTTAATGCAATCAGGGAGATAATAGGGCTGTTGTAAATGCAAGGCAGCAGAAGGGGGCAGAAAAGGATGGTGACACCCTTTCATCTATTAATGGAAGTGCTGTTCGAACTGAAGAAAAAATCCGAAGATTGCCTGCTGGAGGTGAAGGATGGGATACAAAGAAAAAAAAACGATCTGCTGGAATTGTAGGCCATAGAGTTGCAAATGGTGATCAAGATGTAAAACGAGCCATGCAACAAAAGATAAATCCTGAACCAAAGTTGCGATCTTGTGATGTGCTGGGCTTCAGGTGATTTTATGTGTATATAAGAATCGTGTCCTAAGTTCAAGTGCAAATGCTGGTTTTATACATTTTGGTTTCCCAATTTCAGTGAAAAGGGTTTCCTGATGTTATTGGGTCTCTGTTGTATTACAGATCAAAGTCCTCCCCTGGAGTTAGTGGAATCCACAAGCTGGATGGTTCTTTTGAACCAGCTGGTTCAGATGCTGGTACAGCACTCAGGAATGAGCCAGAAAGCATCCCTCTCCCGAGGGATCGGACAACTGTTTTGGAGCAAAGGGTTGTAGCAAAAGGAAGCAATAAGTATGTTCCTTCATCATCATCTTTTATCTCTAGAATTTTACAGTATTTTTCTAGTCCTCAGCTTTATTAATTTTGGTCCTATTTGTCAGGGCAAGTCTGCTGGATGATAACCTAGCAAACTCTCCAAATAGAATGTTAAAAGCAAAAGTTTCTAGGGCTCCAAGAACTAGTTCCATCATGGTTTTAGACTCTTCTTCTAATTCTAAAATTCACCAATCTTCCGGAGCTTTTCCTAGTTGGGAACAGCCTGCTAGTGTGAATAAAATCCCAGCTTTAGCTGTTGGGAATAATAAAAAATATGCAATGCCTATTGGTTCATCTTCACATGCCATGGCCCAGTGGGTTGGTCAGAGGCCAAATAAAAACTCACGCACAAAAAGGGCAAATTTAGTGTCTCCTGTCTCAAACCTTGCTGAACCTCAAATTTCATCTCAAAGTTTTGCAACACCTGATTTTAGTGCAAGAACATCTTTTGGGGTTGGTGGATCAGTGTTTGCCAGCAGTGTTGATAATGTTAACCTGAAAGTTAAGAAGGAACCTGATACCGTTTCATCTCCGTTTGGGTTATCTGAAAGTGAAGAATCAGGAGCTGGAGATAACAAATTGAAGGACAAAGCAATAGAAAGTGGTGAGGTAGCTGTATCTATGGCTGGGGTTTTGCTTACAAGGAAGAATAAGATATCTACTGGTGAAATTGGTGATGGAGCCAATAGATCAGGAAGGTTTGGAAGCAGTGCACCCTTGACAAGACCAGCTCATCCAATCAGGGAGAAATCTGAGAATCTACAGGCAACGAAGCCAATTCAGACTGCAAGATCTTCTTCTGATAAACATAAGAGGTGCTTACATATATTTCCTCCCCCCCTCCCCCCATTAAAGGTACTTGAACATTAGTCTCTTGTTTATATCTACATTTCTTTTCTTTTCAGTAAAACGGGTCGTCCACCTTCCAAAAAGATGAGAGATTGCAAGGCCTCAACCCGTGTTGGATCATCTCTAAATGCTGTTTCTTCAGATTTAACAGGTATTGATTAAGCCTACAACACTTATTTTGTTCACAATTAAGCTATCACTTTCAACCTGTCAGGTTTTAATTGTAGTGACTCTGATGGTCTTGGGAAATTTCCCAGTTATTTATCTAACCTATTGTAGTTCAGCTACCATTAAACTGAGATATTGAAATATAGTGTTACAACCCTAGAAGGCTTGTGGTATTTTTATTCTTTTCTATTTGTACAAATGATATTTTATTTTATCATTCTGCGTTTGAATAAACACTATAATTCTTAAATTGCAAAAAGAATACAGTTACTATGCCTTTTCCAATTGCCCACATCACTTGAGAACTCCTAGCAATTACACAAATGTGCTTGTGTATTTTATTTCCTTTTTTTTCAGTGGGAAATTTAGTTTTTCATTTTTAAGTCATGTACATTTGAATTTGCAATGATATGCATATGCATGCACAGCAGTTGTATGTATTTTGTTTGATTCCCAGTGGACAATTGTAGTTTTTCATTTGGTGGAAAATTCCTAGAAGTTCTTTCTGATGAGTCTTATTACTTTATATTCTAATATGCACATGGCATGCCATTTTCAGGTGAATCAGATGATGATCAGAAGGAGCTATTTACTGCTGCCAGTTCTGCTCATAATGCTAGCAGTATGCATCCTTTCTTTCTCAAACATCTCCTTGCCTCCCCCCCCCCC